ACAAAAAAAAATTACTTAATAAAAAAGGAATCGGTTGTGAGAAACACCAAACTTGTGATTCTTGTCATTAGAAATTGGTGAAGCCGCTTGAAGTTTGTTTTGATCCTGTTTCGAGTGTCCTGGATTGTCAACAAGCAAGACTCAGTTCTATTGGAGCTTTGGATTCTTCTGTAGCTATTATTTCATTGATGAAATTCACCATGCGTTCTGGAGTATGCTTATTGTCCCACTGACCTTCCCACCAACAAATTTCTGCATTTCAGAGCTTGTTAGAGTATATATATATCCTTGTGCAAAAATCAACAAAGGATTAATTTTCATCCTACTCTTTTTGTACCTCAATTTTCTAGTGTTTGGTTACTTATTAAAATATTTCAGGTATTCCTAGACTGCCTAGAAGAAGGTTCTTGCTTCTCTTTTTGCATCATTAGTTTTTGGATGTTTCTGTGTGATTATGTTCCTTTTCTCTCTCAGTTGTTTTCTTCCTGATCTATCTCTTAGATGTTTACTTGTGATGTTTGTGTAGAATCCAAGTTTTTCCTTCTCTCTGCTTCTTGATCTTTATCCATTGCTATTAAGATGTTTTACCTTATTTGTTTACATTCTACTCTAATCAGATTGAGGAAACTGATGAAGCAAGGAAGAAGTTTTCTAATGCCAAATCCATTTCATCTGCTCAATACTTTGGTGATCAGTCTAAAACTGAAATGGAAGCCTCAGTCTCTCTACAGAAATTCTCGGTATGCTTGCTTATTTTTCACCCTCCTCCCAGTTTAAGTGGTTTTGACCATATTTTAGAATGACTTTTGACCTTATTATCACAGTTTAACTAACAATAGTAGACACTTATTAAAGTATTAAATAAACTAGGATAGAATTGATATCAAACAATTAAATTTATGTTCCAAAACTAAATAAGTCAATCTGTATTTAACTATCAATATTGGGCAACAAATTTAGAACAAGGGAAGTATAAGTATGTCCTTATCATTTATATAGGCGTGTACCTACTGTTTTTGTAAAGCATTGAATCCTTGAATTGCCAGCTACCAGTGACCGACCCAAATATTCCTTATAGTTTTCAGAATCTTTTCCATTCCTAACTACTACAAACATCCCTACTTCACAGCAACATATGTACCCCTATGTTCCTTCGCTTTGTTTCTCCTTTTGATTTTTATCTCATTCAATAATGAGAATTTGCATTAAGTTTAATGTATCTCTAATTAAAGTTTGTTGTGAGAACTGAGAGCTTCCTAAGTACATAACTCATTAGAAACCAGGATTTGGGTTCTGAACATGATGAATGTATATGTGTTGATAGCATATCTTCCGGAGACCCCTGCTGACGTCTCCAGATTTCCTGAAGTTCTCGTTAACTGCACATCTCGGTTCAGAAATTATAAGCCAATTCCCTTTCGGGGTATGCTGCAAACGTGCTATCTGTTGGTGGCCGTTTCAGCTTCATTTACCTATTTTGCAGGCACTGGACCTCTTTTTTGGCGGCAGTTCAGGCAGCACGTGCTTTTTCATCCTGTTCCCTCTTCTTCTTTTTTCGGATCATTCTTCCTGTCACTTTTTCTAGTAGCTTTTCGGTCTCTTTGTAACTTTTTTGGCTGCTTTTCAGTCACCAATTCAAGTGAAACTCTTACATGATGATTAAGGAAGTTGAGGGAATTTTCTATTCTCTCGTTTCACATTTATCGTGCTGTTTAATAGGGAAATTGAGGGGTAGAGAATGCCTGTACATGATCTAGCTGATCCTCTTCCTATTGAACACATTTAACAGACTTCTCGGGACCAACTTTTGGTAGGAGTTAAACAGTTTGTTTTGAACTATTACCTTCCAATAAGCCTTTCACGGATCATATTGCAAACAAGTTGTCAAAATAATGTATCTTTAATGACTCAAAAAATATAATGTACTGCCAAAATATTCAACCCTTGGATTCTTCTAATAACTGCTCGTTTGAGCTTATTTTAGCAGATTCAGTTACAACAACAACAACATCCCAGTATAATCCCAATAGTGGGGTCTGGGGAGGGTAATATGTACGCAGACCTTACCCCTACCCCGAGGGGCAGAGGGGCTGTTTCCAGGAGACCCTCGGCTCAAGAGAGCAACAAGAGACGATATATTAGTATTATCAATAAACTAATAGTAAAATAACATAAAATACATAACATAAAATAACAAAATAACAGCAATATAGGAAATATAGGAAATACCAAAAGGATGGAAGATATACTAATATCCAACAGATAAAGCCTTGCATCAGTAGCATCCTAAGACTAACTCCTAACTGGCTAGTCTCACTCTAGTGTGCTGTAGAAATATTCACAATTTTCGTAACCTACAACCTTAATGCTCGACCTCCACAATTTCCTGTCAAGGGCCATGTCCTCAGTAATCCTAAGTCGTGCCATGTCTTGCCTGATTACCTCTCCCCAATACTTCTTAGGTCTCCCTCTACCTCTCCTCGTGCCCACCACAACCAGTCGCTCACACCTCCTCACTGGTGCATCAGTGCTCCTCCTCTAAATGTGCCCGAACCATCTGAGTCTTGCTTCCCGCATCTTGTCCTCCATGGGGGCCACGCCCACCTTCTATCGAATATCTTCATTCCTAATCTTTTCCATCCTTGTATGCCCGCACATCCACCTCAGCATCCTCATCTCTGCTACTTTCATCTTCTGGATGTGTGAGTTCTTAACCGGCCAACTCTCGGTCCCATACAACATAGCAAGCCTAACCACTGCTCTATAAAACTTACCTTTTAGTAATGGTGACACTTTCTTGTCACACAAGACTCCCTTCGCTAACCTCCACTTCATCCACCCCACCCCTATACGGTGTGTGACATCCTCGTCGATCTCCCCGATCCCCTGAATAACTGACCCAAGATACTTGAAACTACCCCTCTTAGGGATGAGTTGAGAGTCAAGCCTCACTTCCACTCTTGCTTCCATCGGCTCGACCCCAAATTTGCACTCGAGGTATTCCGTCTTCGTCCTATTCAACCTGAAACCTTTAGACTCAAGGGCATGTCTCCAAACCTCTAGCCTCTCGTTGACGCCGCGTCGTGTCTCGTCAATTAGGACTATGTCATCAGCAAATAGCATGTACCATGACACCTCCCCTTGAATATGATGCATTATGACATCCATCACCAGGGCAAATAGGAAAGGGCTGAACGCAGACCCTTGGTGCAGCCCCATAACAACCGGAAAATGGTCGNATTCATGGGGGCTGTCGGCATTCCTCAATTCACCTAGCACAATATCCTGATCCCCTTCTTCATTTAAAAGTTTATAAAAGTAGGTCTGCCATCTCCTCTTAATCTGGCCATCCCCCATCAAAACTTTGCCGTCATCATCTTTTATGCACCTCACTTGGTCCAGATCCCGAGCCGTCCTCTCTCTCACCTTAGCGAGTCGGAATAACTTCTTCTCCCCTCCTTTGTTCCCTAGTTCCTCATACAGACGAGCAAAAGTTGCCGTCTTAGCCTCCATTACTGCCATCTTCGCGTCCTTCCTAGCTACCTTATATCTCTCACTGTTAGCTCTCTTCTCCTCCTCTCCGGTGCTCCCTACGAACCGCAGGTACGCCGCCTTTTTCAGTTATTATTATAATTTGTAAGCCAATTGTTTGGTGCAGCTCATAACAGTGTGCTATAATTAGGTTATCAACTTATTACCTTAGCTCGTCTGATGGGTTTGAATGGACTAATTGACGAAGTTTGCTTCGATATCTGATATTGAAGCTGATCCTTCTGCTACTATATGAAGTTTACCTGAAAACTGAAGAAGCAAATTCAGGTTCTAAAACCTACTTTCTCTCCCTCTTTGTATTCCTAGGGTTCAAGTGCCATCTCTAGCGCTGACCTATTTGGTCAAGATGATGGGGCAGCTTTTGACGTCACTGCAGGAGAACTTATTAATCGGCTCTCTTTCCAGGTATAGTGGCAGTTTTGATACACAAAGCTTCGCTCTTCACCAGTTTCTTTGTGAAGGTATTGTTTGGATCTTCCTTTTCAATGTCTCCTTTTATGCTTCCAGGCACAACAAGATATCTCCTCGATCAAAAATATTGCTGGAGAAACTGGGAAGAAGCTTACCTCCTTAGCATCCACTTTGATGTCTGATCTCCAAGACAGAATCATATGAGGAGACTCTCTGTGTGGTAAAAATGAAACGGAGATGACAGCACCTAAACATCACTTATAGAAGTCAAAAGAGTATGTGACATTCTTTCAGAAGATCTAGAATTCTAGGTCTTGAGAAGCTGGTATCTTATTTCATCGCTTTAAGATATGTCTGTTTTATATTTCCTGATGCATGTGGCTTTTTTGCTTTTGTTCTTTTACTTGCCAAGGCTCTTTAAGAGGCTTTTGAGTGAATATTTTGCTGTGTATTATGTGCTTGTTAGAGTTGAAATAGAAATCACCAAATTGTAATCTAGTGAAAACTGTCTTTGATGTTAGCAAAACTTAGACTAAGGTTCTCTTACTTTTCTTTCAGCCTAGTATGTTAGTTGAGTTAATACCCTTTTTTTGTCTGCATGTATATCAAGTAACAATCCCATCACAACGCATGATGTTAGCTGAATGGCGTTCGAATGTTTTAAATGTAGTATTTCTCCTTTGCGAGTGGAAATCCCTCTATGTTGTAAATTTAACGGGAATATGTTGTAATGCTTACTGATAATGTTTACTTTAGGCAGTGATGGATCCAATAATGGGTTTGCGGGTTTAGCAAATGCAGAGAGAAACGAAAATCAGAGAAAGATTTTTCTAGAGAGAAACTGTATGTATTGGTAGATAGAGAAAACATCTTGCAATACTCCAATTTTCTCTCTCCTTGTTCTCGAATTCCAGGGGTTTAATTGTAATTTCAGGCAATTGAATTGGGGGGAGGGGGGGGGGGGGGGGGGGTTAGCAAATGCAGTGTTTTTTAGGTCGAATTCAATAAAAAGGGCAGCCCGATGCACTAAGCTCCTGCTATGCGCAAGGTCCGGGGAAGGGCCGGACCACAATGGTCTATTGTATGCAGCCTTGCCCTGCATTTCTGCAAGAGGTTGTTTTCACGACTTGAACCCGTGACCTCCTGGTCACATGGTTAGGTCAAATTCAATATTATTTGCAAAGAACAAGTATAGATAGATTTAGGTATAAATTTAGAACCTAGCCTTTTGGCTCAAAGTTCACAGCATCTAACTTCCAGATCTGTTACTGCTTTTAGCAAGTTCTACGAATTTTACTGTTATAAGTAGTGTACAAAGTTTGGCCAACAGGCGATCGCACAGAAGGTGCTCTATGTTTACTCCCAGCAAGTTTTTACTGTTTACTGGTAATGATCACTTTAATCAACTTTACTAAAAAAATGATTATGGTTGTGAACGTCAAGTGTACCCTTATGGATCATCTAAATGCTTTCAGATGATTATTTGAAAAGTTGTATGCTAAGATCATGTTCAAACAAAAACTAGCTTAGCAACTTTTGCCGAAACCTAAGAACAATCTAAACCATAACATTATAAGTAAACAAATCTTCATAAATCACGTTAGAATTCCATATGGAAACTAATGCTCTTTTTGGTTTTGGGAGAAAACTGGAAACAACCTTTCTATCTTCACCTCATACATGGGATTAGACTGAGTTTGTGGTGTTGTTGGTTTGGGGAGAAAAGAGGAAACATTACAAGAGGGAAAGTATAGGTGACCACATATTATTTCCTTTTTTTAGGATGTAAAATTGAAGGCGAGCAGCCATGTCAATCTTCTCAATATCTTAAAATTCTGAAGAAAAGGAGAAAGTAAATGTAAGTTAACTACCTTCTGATGTTCCAAATAACCAAAGAGGAAGAAGAACAATATACTTCTCCTAATGAAATAATCTCTCCTCCAAGGCCTCACCCTTCCCGTAATCTTCCTTGAACCAAATATATATGAGGTTACGAGAGACAGAACTTAACAACTCGCGTACGAACTCGTTTGTTTTCCTTTTCAGTTTTTGACATATAATTTCCATAATGACTTCAATTTTTTACAGGTAAGGAATTCTACACTATCATGAAACTAAGTAAATTTTGTTTTTTAGGCAAGTATAAATTAGTAACCAACAAAAGATAGAAAGAAAGTTACCTATTATAGCAAGTAATATTATAGTGTATCCTATAATTAAAATTTAAATCCTTATAAGTACTCACATGTCGACTTAAAATTTGGGTCGTAGAAGGATTTATATTAAGCCCAAAACTTTAAATTATTGGAAGGTGAAATAAAACAATAAAAGAGAAGAAGAATATTGCAGAGAAAAGAGAGAGAATTCTATTGATTTGGGATGAATTACAATGGGATAGAAGCTCTCTATTTATAGGAGAAAAATGATTGAACCATAAAGTAATAAACTCTAAAAACTCTCTAAAAGATAGACATTCACCTTAACTACAGTACTATTTATAACACTCACCCTTGAATGTCTATTCAACAGATAAATGTGCCTCGTTAAACTTTAACTAAACTAAAACTCAGTGGGAAAAAAAATTCTAGTGAAGGAAAAAGAGTACACATATTTAACAATATGCCTTGGCTGCCTCATTAGAAACCTTGCAAGAAAAACCCAATGGGACAAAATCTTATAAGGGAAAAAGAGTATAACGCATATTAACACCCCATGATGAGAGCATCAATTCACATCTTTGAGCCTTCACATCCCAATCTTGTACACTAGCTTCTTGAAGGGTGACGTCGATAGAGATTTGGTGAACAAGTCAGCCATATTATCACTTGAACGAATCTGCTGCACATTGATATCGCAATTCTTTTGAAGATCTGTGTGAAAATAACTTTGGTGAAATGTGCTTTGTCCTATCTCCTTTATGAATCCTCCCTTCAATTGGGTTATGCGTGCTGCACTGTCTTCATACAAAATCGTGGGTATTTTATCACACTTCAAATCAGATTTTTCTCGAATAAGATGTATTGTAGACCTCAACCACATATATTCTCGGCTTGCTTTATGAATAACAATTATCTCAGCATGCTTAGATGAAGTAGCCATGATTGATTGCTTAGTCGATCGACAAGATATGACAGTACCTCCACATGTAAACACATAGCCTATTGGAGATCGAGCCTTGTGTAGGTCAGATAAATACCCAACATCGGTATGAACAACAAGATCGAGACTGCAATCATTGCCATAAAATAAGCCCATATCGGTAGTCCTTTTTATATACTGCAATATGTGTTTGATTCCATTCTAATGTCTTCTTGTAGGAGCATAGCTATATCTTGCTAAGACATTAACTAAAAAAGTTATGTCAGGCCATGTAGTATTAGCAAGATACATTAATGCACCAATTGCACTAAGATATGGTACTTCAGGACCAACAAGCTCTTCATTCTTTCTTGAGGTCGGAACGGATCCTTATTCACATCAAGTGATCGAACAACCATCAGAGTACTTCACGGATCTGTTCCATCCATATAAAATCGTTTCAACACTTTTTCTGTATAGACAGATTGATGAACAAAAATTTCGTTTGCCAAATGTTCAATTTGCAAACCGAGACATAATTTTATCTTTCCGAGATCTTTCATTTCGAATTCCTTCTTTAAATAATTAATTCCCTTTTAGAGTTTTGTAGGAGTTCCAATAAGGTTTATGTCATCAACATATACAGTAATTACAAAAAACTTCGATGTTATTTTCTTTATAAAAACACGTAGACAAATGACATCATTTATATAACCTTCCTTTATTAAATACTCACTAAGGCGGTTATACCACATTCGTCCTGATTGCTTTAGACCATACAAAGATCTTTGCAATTTGATTGAAAATATTCGGGACTTTGAATTATGTGCGTCAAGCATTTTCAATCCTTTGGGAAGTTTTATGCATATCTCATTATCAAGTGAGCCATAAAGGTAGTCTGTAATCACATCCATTAAATGCATGTCAAGCTTTTCATGGACATCAAAACTAATGAGATAACGAAGCGTTATTGCATCCATAACAGGTGAATATATCTATTCATAATCGACACCGGGCCTTTGTAAAAATTCTTGTGCAACAAGGCGTGCCTTATATATTTTTACCTCATTTTTCTCATTCCTCTTACGTACGAAAACCCATTTATATCCAACATGCTTAACATCGTTAGGTATTTGAACTACATGCCAAAAAATTTCACGTTTTGCAAGTGAATTCTATTCTGATTGGATTTCTTCTTGCCATTTTGGCCAATCACGTCTCTGTCGATATTTTCCAACTGAGGTTCAAGATCCTCACTATATTATAATGCAATATGCAACATTATACGCAAAGACATAATCCACCACTATATCCAATCGATTCAAATTCGTCTTGATATCGATTGGATTTATTGATAGTTCCTTATTTTCTTAAGTCTTAGGCTCAGTGATTTCCTTATGAATCTCATGAATGGATTGTCACAAGCCGAAAACCACACCACGGGGCCGTGATGGCGCCTAACATCCACTTGCTAGGCAAGCCAACGTTAGCTAAAGTATTTAACCAATTTTAACAATTTAAAATGGAACATTAATAATTTAAAACTGAAATACTTTGAGATACATGTGATAAATACAATCATAACACAATCTAAACATATACCAAGAATCTGGAGTCACAAGTACATGAGTAACTAGAATACTACAAATATGATCTGAAATAAAGTACAACTGTCTGAACTAGATAAACAGTAAACATGATAGAAGGGGACTTCAAGGACTGCGAATGTTGTGCAGCTCTACCTCAAGTCTCCTGAATGAGTTGGATTCGAGCAATCTCCTCTATGCGCCTCTAGGACCAACACCAGGACCTGCACAAAAAATGTAGACGTATAGCATGAGTACAACCGACCCCATGTATTATATAAGTGTCGAGCCTAACCTCGACGAAGTAGTGATGAGGCTATGACAAGATACTCACTATAAACCTAAACGAATAATAATAAAAGAAAACAGAAATATAGACAAGGAGTAAACCCATAATAATGGGACCCGAAGATCAACTAAGAGAGGGCCCTAAAATAACATCATCTCATAACCTAGTATCATAGTAAAGAAATAGAGCACTATAATAGCAAATAATTATTGTACATCATACTCCATTGCAACGTGTCACCAAATCCCAACATTTATCATAATATCTATTGCGGCGTGCAACCCGTTCCCATTATCAATTCATTTCAATATTGTTTTGGCGCATAACCCGTTCCCAATATCAACTCATTAACATGAACAACTCAATACAACCAAATTCCGTAATCTCATCACAAAAGGAAATAAAGCATATAAAATATCAAAGAACTACCAGTACAAACAGAGAATAACCAATACCTCGTATTCACAAATATTGAAAAATCTCAATACAAGAATAGCTAAAGGACTCACATAACCGGATATGACATAATAAAGTGCGACACGTAATGTAAAGATAATAAAGGCAAGTAAAGACATGAGAGGATGAATATATGCAATTAATATAGGTAGGAACATATAGCAGGTAAGCAGATATTGAGCGAGAAA